TACACCGTATTTATCAAAGCTCTCTAAAATTATGGCTTAGGCCATATGCCATTTTTAAGTAATAATCATTAATAATAATAATATACGTGATTCATTCCTACTTTTGGTATTATTGCACAACCATGAAGCAGATAGTAACGTAAACAATCTATCGATATGACGAGAGGCTCGCTCTCGCTCCCACACCAACTAGCCTAGGCCTACTCTAAGTTCGGATTCGTAATATTATTATCATCTTCTGTATTCTTTTCTTTTTCATACCAAGACTCATATAAATAGGTATGGACAATAGCCAACGTCATTGTCTTCCTCATCTGTTGTTTCTACATACGATGAGGATGAGTTGAAATATTCTCCGTATACCAACATGCTCGCTTTTTTCTTCCTCGGCTAGGCCGTCGCAGTCTTTGTTTTGATTTCGTGCTTGGATGAATTTTGTCGGTCACCAATGACGTCATTGAGTGACCTCGTTGTTTCTAAGGTCTTACAAAAATGACACTTCAAACTCATTTTTTTCGTACAAAATCAACTTTATTCGTAATTTATGACCAACACTTGTGTTTATAATATATTTATAAATATAAACACGCTGTAGTTTATAGAAATTGTCAGAATAGGTGGCAGAGGCACTTTAAGAAGAGGGATGTTAGATTAGCATGCTATAGAGGGCGTGTTAGAGAGCATGACTTGCACCCATGGAAACATGTGATTTTGAAGTTTAATAAAACTCATTGTTATCATTGTTTATATACGTTTGATGTTGTCATCTTTACAATCGGTGTTCAAGAAACATAACAATGAGAAATTTGTTGGCGTTTCATTTTGACTACAATGGTAATGTGATGATGATGAATTTTACTATATAAAAGTGTCATTTCCGGCCATCTCAAGAGGTACTATTGCCTCAAATTTTCTCACCTCAGCTCCAACCATTGTGGGGCTGAGGTGGGTGTCGACTCACAAAATGCCCTCCCCCTCCACCTTTCAAAACAGATATGTGCCCTTCCCTGAGTATGACATTAAACTCCATCGAGTTGGCTCCTGATGTATATGTCTTAGTGACTGCTGTTTGTTTTTAGGATGTGATCTGGTTTCATGTCCATTTTTCGTGATTATGGCTATTCTGGATAAATAATGTTTTGAGCAGAGGTGGATTCAAGACCCCCTCCCCCCTTCATTTTTTTAAGGAGAAAAAAAGAAAAATATATTCAAATTGAAGTGCGAGAGTGTAATTTCCGGCCATCTAGAGATGCCCTAATCATAAATTTCCTTACCTCAGCCCCAACCATGGTGGGGCTGAGGTGGGTGGTTCCTCGGTCTATGAAAGTCCCTCCCTGGTTCACCTCTAGTCTTTCGAATTCCTGGATCTGCCACTGTTGATTTATTATATAATTATTTTTGCGCTTATTTATAATGCATCTATTGCAATTTTCACTTTATCCTCTCAAACAGTCCTAAGAACGTTCAAAGTGTGCTACTTCACAGGGGGATTCGCCCCCTTGACCCCGCCGGGGTCCTACGTAATTCGCGTAACGGCTCCCCCCCCCTTTCAAAATCCTGGCTACGTCCCTGCATCAAATCATAGATACAGATAAATAACCCCATCAGAGATAAATAACTCCATCAATAAAACAGAAAGACAGTAACTCCGAAAAGAGACAGAGACATTAACTCCATCAAATCATAGATATAGATAAATTACTCCATCATGGCCTATTTTATGCTTCAGCTTTAGTACTGCTAGTTTCTGTCTGGCGATTTTTTTTCAGATTGTAAAAAAAGATTCATAAAACACTCTCTCTGCAACTTTATTTAATGCGAGACAGAAGAATATACCAGTACATGTGTGAACAACAAATGCAATAGAAAAATCACACTCATTAATCACAACAAAATACTCACTTTTGCCAAACTTAACAATATTCACCTTTCCTCCTTTATGCAGTCTAGGATCCATTTCTGTTTGTAAAATGTGTCTATTTTCTTTGATGGAAAACTTTACTGTACTACACCACTTTCAGGATCCAATAAAATCAGGCTTACCAGTAAATCCTTGCCTTCACTGACAATAGATATTACTTGTGTTAATAGCTTTTATTTTGCCTTGGATATTGTAATCCTTCATTCACCAAGGAAGTAAAGTATCAGTATTATACCAGGATAGGGGTGTTGTCAAAAGAAATGATATGGCTTAGGTTATACCATTACTATAATAGGTAGTATTGAGTATTACAAATGAAGCCATTTTTATTCACATACAATATTTTAATCATTTGAAAATATTTTATATGATATAAATATTCTCAAATGATTTAATGACACACAAGTTGAATACATAAATATGGGAAACAGATTGGCTATATCATCAGTAATCAGTATGGACTGATCAGTAATCAGTAAGGACACAAACAACACCAAAACCTATGCAGGAACAAATAAAAATTTGGCAAAGATGAAGATGCCGCTCCTGACAATAACAGGAAGGACTTGTGTGGTAATGTGTTTATCGATCAAAATAATAGATTTAATATTTTACAAGACCTTTCCAATAATGATATAAACGATAATGATCAAGTTAAAACACTATTTTGTAACAATGACCTATTTAAATCCCCTATTAATTGTAATGATGAACATATTAATAATAATAAAGATATTAAATAAAAATACTAATAATAATCGCAATAATAATAATAATAATAATAATATAATACGTCCAAAGCGCGGAAAAAGAGTAAAGAGAAATGACAAAAGAAATTTTAACATTGCTTTCAATAATATTCGAGGAGTAAAAAGCAAGAAATATGAAATTAAAAAGTTTCTTAAGTGCAATAAAAGTTTTTAACATAGCAGAGACATTCCTAAAAGAAAATGAAGAAATCAAAATAGATGGTTATAACTGGATCAGAAAAAATAGAGTAAATGAAAAAAAGAAAAGACAAGGCGGCATCGGTTTCCTCATAAGGGATGATATTAGGATCCTTGAAGATAACATGTTAGATTCTCATTCCGATACATTAGAAAGGGCATGGATAAAAGTTCAAATTAATGAATGTGCTGACTCAATATTCTATATTGCAACTACATACAGTATTTTCCATGTGAGAGAACCAATCGCACGCAGACCGATGAAATGTATATGACTTTGCTTGCTGAGACTATCGCAATCAGAGAACATAACAAAGATACTAACATAATTATTTTAGGGGACTTTAATGGAAAAATTGGTCAAGTTATTGTTGGAGGTGATGATACCGTAAATTATAATGGGCAAGGTTTGTTAGACTTTTGCGACAATGGGGATCTAAACATTCTAAATGGTAGCTGTAAATGTACTGGTATTTACACGTGGGTACAAAATTGCCGCCACAGTGTTTTAGATTATTCTATTGTCTCACACAACGTATTTAATTTAACAAATGAATTGATTATTGGTGATCTCTGCCATTTTATTCATTTATTTATTTTATTCATTTGCCATGACGGCACAGGAGTCACAAAAGCAGAAAATCCACTGTCGTCTGAATAATCTAGGGAGCGACCATAACATATTAATTCTAGACATTCTCCTAGTACTAACAGAAAACGTAAAGACCCACCATTAAAAAAGAAAGTCTGGAATATTCCTGACAATTATAATTGGGACTCATTTAAACATAAAACTAGATTTGAACACGTCACTGAGGACGAGTTTGGTGATCCGCCGTACTTTGACCCTCACGAAGCACGCGCGGTTCTGATTGAAAAGTATTATATGCTAATTTTTAGCATTTTAAAAGAAATTTTAAAGGAAAAGAGTAATTTTGAGCGTTTTAAGGACTTACGAATGTGTACACATACGTCTTAACGTCCGTGCGCACAGTAGTATCAATACAGTGTCACAAACCCAACACATGTAACCGAAACGTAATTTCCAGCTTCAGTACGTGCTGTGGGCGTGGAAATGAGCATACAGCGCGTAAATTTTGGAAAGTTTTGGAATATTCAAAATGACCTGAAACGTGCTTTAAATTATCTGAAAAGTGATATTAACAATTTTTAAATTTTAATGCACAAGTACGAATACCTTATACGACGTGCTTGACGACGGTAATGGCACATGAATTTAAACCTTGTCAAGTTTAATTAAAAACCCCCTGTTGGTTGGTAATGCCACACGAATTTTGCCTTTACAGTATACGAACTATCGGTCTGATAGTGTCGAAATACAGTCTGCCGCCCTCGAT